ATGGATGGATGGATGGATGGATGGATGGATGGATGGATGGATGGATAATACATCATTATTCACTGGGGTGGCTGTGGCTGAGTGGTTAGAGCAGTTGTCCTCCAATGCAAGAGTTGGGGATTCGAATCCACCAACAGTCACATGCCGAAGTGTCCTTGGGCAAGACACTGAACCCCTCATTTCCTCTGATGTGTGTTCCATCAGTGTATGAATGTGATAAATCACTGATTAGTCTTTGTATAGATCTAGTAGAGTGCTGTATGAATGGGTAAATGAGGCACAGATTGTGTTGTAAAGAGCTTTGAGTGTCTTGATAAGATAGAAAGGAGCTGTATAAATACACTCCATTTACCATCATATTTTAGGGCTCTTGTGACTTTTTAGCACAAGATATTTTAGTGACTTTTTTACACACTCGAAAAACAGAGATTTGTTTTCCTAACTGAAATGAAAATCATAAATACTTTTATTTTCCTTTTTTAAGTTAATGACAATGTGCCAGAACTTCCTTGAGATCTACCAACGTCCTTTCTAGGGCCTCTCCCAATTTCTTCCACGTCATGTTTTTGCTTCTGCAACTACACAAACCACAGTCCTTCTGGCCTCCCTGAAGTTCCAGCTGCTTCAGGAGTCCTCTGGGACAGCCAAGCTTTAAAGACTTCCTCCACCAACTTGATGGCCTCCATGAGCGCTGGTGTCTAAATGGACTGTAAATGGACTGTACTTATACAGCGCCTTTCTATCTTATGAAGACACTCAAAGCTCTTTACAACAATCTGTGCCTCATTTACCCATTCATACAGCACTCTACTAGATCTCTACAAAGCTAATTGAACAAATCATTCTAATGAGACTAAGTGCTTTATCACATTCATACACCAATGGGACACACATCAGAGGCAGTGAGGGGTTCAGTGTCTTGCCCAGGGACACTTCGGCATGTGACTGCTGGTGGATTCGAACCCCCAACTCTTGCATTGGAGGACGACTGCTCTAACCACTCAGCCACAGCCGATGACCTTGTGGCTTTTGAACAGGACAAGTTTGGTTTGGGTTTATGAGAAAACTGTATTTTTTACTAACTAAAGTCTGGACTAAATCTAGGGATAGAAATGTATTTCTTTTTTCAGCTGCTCCATTTTTCAGCTAATGAACTTGCACAAACTTATAGCATGAGTTGTAATGAAAATAACACAATGCATAAACAAGAAATCCAATAAATATTTACTTCAGTAGTGTTTTCCAAGACCTTTTTCCTCCCGTTTTGTGTGTAGTTTTATTATTCCCATCTGTCTTTTGCTCTGTTCTGTTATTCACGTCTAGTCTGGCTCTCCTCAGACTCAAAATTGGACTTCATACTTACATTTTAAGAACTCACTGTGTGTACATTGTTACATAATTGGCTGTATTTGCATGTCACTGTGTTCACTACAGGGTTGTATGGACTGGCTGAAAGTGACCTGGACAGGGTGTTTCGCCTTCCCACCAACACCTTCATCGGCGGCAATGAAAGTGCTTTGCCACTCAGGGAGATTATTCGGCGCCTTGAGGTAAATTATGTGTAAAAAATAAACTTATCTTTGTATATAGAATGGGAAACCTGCATTAGGTTACTACTATCTCAAACAAACTGAAAGATGGATTAAAGCTTTTTAAAACATTGATCCATCCTCTTGTTACATTTGGATATTGCAACATATAAAATATATTCTATAAAAAAAACACAAACACAGATATTTGACACATTCATATTGATCAGAATGATAAATAAAATGTGCCCCCTCACAGCAAACAGGTGTGTTTGCATGTGGGCAACCAAACAAGTTTTTATAAGAACAACTAACAACTGTTGTATTTTGCTAAAACACAATTACACGATAAAAACGGTTATTTTTAACACAAAGTAAATCATTTCTTGCTTCTTTTACGTCAGCTTGATTAATTAAATAAAAAGGTTTAACACTTTACAACCAACAGTAATTCATTCCAGAGTTAGTTGAATAAAACAATACTCAGTCATTTGAAACAGTGAAAAAGAGGTTTTTCAGTGAAAAATGTATTTTTTTTTATTTATTTAAGTTATTTTGACCTTTTCATGTTTTGTGTGAACTGATAGTAGGATAAACCTGACACTAATAAAAAAATATATATTTAAATCCGCATTGTACATAAGTTGTCTATTATTACAAAAAATACTCCACATCGACTTCAAAAGTTTATAATCTTTTTGAATATTACTTTATTTTGAAGGAGTGGATTGTTAGCCATCTGTAGCAGTTTAGGCACATTAACTTCTGCAAAACACTAATTGTGTTATTCTAGATGTAAGTACAGTGGCCCTAAGGTGTAAATGAACAACATTTGAAAAAACAAAATTACATTTGAAAAAAAACCAGAATTACATTAAGCCAAAGCGGAAGTGGCCGAAATCACATTCGAAAAAACAGATTTACATTAGGAAAAACAGAATTACATAAAAAAAAACGGAATTACATTAGAAAAAACAGAATTACAGTAGAACGAAACAGAATTATATTTGAAAAAACGGAATTACATTTGAAAAAAATTGAATGACATTAAGCCAAAGCTAAAGTAGCCAAAGCGGAAGTGGCCAAAAACAAATTTGAAAAAACGGAATTACATTTGAAAAAATGGAATCACATTAGAAAAAAATGGCATTACATTTGAAAAAAACATAATTACATTTGAAAAAAAAAAACATAATTACATTAAGCCAACACAGAAGTGGCCAAAATTACATTAGAAAAAAATGGAATCACATTAGAAAAACCTGAATTACATTTGAAAAAAATGAAAGTTAAATTATTTTTGAATGAGTCCATTTTGTCAAATGTAATTCTGTTTTTTTCAAATGTTGTGTTTTTGTTGTCCATCCATCCATCCATCCATCCATTATCTTTACCCGCTTATTCCATTTTGGGTCACGGGGGTCGCTGGTGCCCATGTCCAGCAATCACTGTGCGAGGGGCGGGGTACACCCTGAACAGGTCTCCAGTCCATCACAGGGCCACATAGAGACAAACGAGACAAACAACCATTTACTCTCTCACTCACACCTAGGGACAATTTAGAGTTACCAATCAGCCTAACATGCATGTTTTTGGTCTGTGGGAGGAAACCGGAGTACCCGGAGAAAACCCACGCATGCACGGAGAGAACATGCAAACTCCACCCAGAAGGCCCCTGGACCGGGGTTTGAACCAGGGACCTGCTCGCTGAGAGGCAGCAGCTCTACCAGTTGCGCCACCATGCTGCCCGTGTTTTTGTTGTATTTTTTCAAATGTATTTCTGTTTTTCCAAATATTGTTCATTTACACCTCAGGGCCACCGTATTACGGTGACTGTATGTAAGATATCTTAAAACACAACACTGTTAAGTTACACTTGTAAAATCAAAATGGGTAAAACAGCACTGGATTATATACAAGTAAAAAGGCAGCTAATACCAAAGAAAAACTTACAAAACCTTCAAAAAGACCTAAATAGCATTAATCAAGACCACTATGAGGGGATACCATGCAGACAGTTAGGGCTTGACTGTTCTAATTTACACCTCCCTGTCTGTCTTCTAGATGGCTTACTGCCAGCATATTGGCGTAGAGTTCATGTTCATTAATGATGTGGAGCAGTGCAAATGGATCAGGCAAAAGTTCGAGACACCAGGAATCATGCAATTCAACTTGGAAGAGAAGAAGACGTTGTTAGCCAGAATGATTCGATCCACCAGGTTAGTCTTTGGCTCTTTACTGTCACAATCTGGAGGTCAAGGTGGGAAACATGCTCTGAGTCCTGTGAAACACTAGTACCTGCAAATGGTTATAGGTTTGAGGAGTTTCTTCAGAGGAAGTGGTCTTCAGAGAAACGTTTTGGTCTGGAAGGCTGCGAAGCTCTGATCCCGGCCCTTAAGACCATCATAGACAAGTCCAGTCAGAGCGGAGTGGAGAGCGTGATCATGGGAATGCCTCACAGGTACAGGAACAATCAGTGCAGTCTAATGTCCATGTGAGACTTTTTATGTATACACCACAATATAAGTGAAGTCACGTCACTAACATGTCATGTTCTATATCTTCAGAGGCAGGCTGAATGTGCTGGCTAATGTGATCCGAAAGGATCTGGACCAGATCTTTTGCCAGTTTGATTCCAAGTTGGAGGCTGCAGATGAGGTTTGAACATCATCGGCAGATATTTTTGCCAAGTTTAACACAAAAGGAAATGACAATAATCTATAAGAAAACAAGAATGAAAAATAAAACATATTTCTTCCGGCTACCCGAGGCCTTATGATTGACTGGAAACAAGTGGAAAAAAAAAAGTTTTAATTGGTAGATTTTCTAAATTAATTTTGTTCAGAGTCAAGATGTCTGTTTCTCCAATATTCTAACTTTTATGCTAAGCTAATGTTGCAGAAAGGACATCTAATGTTCAACAAAGTGGATTTAAAAACAAACTGTAATGTATTCAAATTCAAATGAGGGAAAAGTTGTGATCTATCTCAGTTGAAGAGACGGTGAGAGTCTAAAGGATCACTTGACTTCCTTTTCTGAAGCTCTTCACTTCTGTTTTCAGGGTTCTGGTGACGTGAAGTATCACCTGGGGATGTATCACAGGAGGATGAACCGGGTCAGCGACAGGTACATCACCATGTCACTCATGGCAAACCCATCACACCTGGAAGCTGTGGACCCGGTGGTGCAGGGAAAAACCAAAGCTGAACAGTTTTACTCTGGAGACAATGAGGGCAAGAAGGTACACTGACTCAGGCTCTGTAACTGTAAATCTATAAAGTTTCTAAAACTTTTTTGCTATAACATTTTCTTTTCCAGGTTATGTCCATTCTTCTTCATGGCGATGCTGCATTTGCCGGCCAAGGTATTGTGTACGAGACGTTCCATCTGTCAGACCTGCCGTCATACACCACCCACGGCACCATACATGTGGTGGTCAACAACCAGGTACAGTAAACTTGAAGAGTTACCTCATAACATTCCACTTGAGAGCTCAGCCAAGAAGGCATCCAGACTTTACAAACTTTAAAGGGGAAGAAGGGAAAAACGATCACCTAAATGACATTGGAAATTACATTCAACCTGCCACCAAAACTTTCACTTCCACTTACTGTTCGAAGGCTAAGGTGCCCTTACAGTTTCAAGAAGGTTACACAAAATGAACAATTTCCCATACTACCATCCTATTTATGAAGACTGAGACAGTTTAGACGTGTGCTGTATGAGCATACTTCTAGACGATGTCAGTGAATAAGGCCAGGCTGATTCTGGCAGATCCTGATCACCACTTCATGGTGAGTTCAGGTTGCTTCCATCTGGACGCAGGTATCTGCAGCCCAGATGTAGAACGAACAGACTGAAAAACTCATTAATCTCTGTAGAGATCAGACTTCTCAATGAACAGTGATGATTTCTGTACTGTTACTCTAATGTCTCAATGACTTATCTAGTATGGATGTTTTGTGAGCCTACTGACTGTAAAACAAATTGTCCCTTGGGGATAATAAAGATTCTTGAATTTGAAGTTGAACTTCTATGCTCTCATTGGGACCTTATCAGCAAAGTTCTGGATGTATTGAGTCTCTGGAGAGTTTTGCTTGGGTTATGGACTAAGGTGTGCACTAGGTCTTCTTAATCAGATAAAGTGACGATGGGAGGAAACTTGGAGATGTTTCATAGGTGGAGAAGAGAGTAGTGATGGGCAGATGAGGCCTCATTGGGTGTATGGCACACTTCCCAAAGTGTGTCGACACTGTGTTGAAACTGTGTTGCTGTATCACTTAATGGCGACATCTGCTAGATTTAGAAAGTCATTGCAGGCAAAGTCAATAAAGACTGGGAACAGACTGAACTAGGTTCAGTCACACGATTTTATTTAGAAACATCAGCTGCTGTAACATCTTTGGGTTGAGGCGATTGCGTCGTTTACAAACCAGTTCTCCTGCTTTTGAAAGCACCCTTTCCCAGGGCACTGATGACGACTGCATACATAGAAATTTCATTGCAAGTTTGTATAACGTAGGGTAATTTAATATTTGCGTTTTCCAGTATTGTAGTAAATCCTGTGATCTTGGTGTGTTCACATCAGAGATATATCTTTGTACCTCGATAAGACAGCACCTGGGAGCAAATCCTACATTTCACCTACAACAGAAATAAAAGTTAATTCATGTAAACTAATTCAAATATCCTTCAGAAAGAAATTAGAATAACCCGAAAGAAAAATGATCAATAGTGGAAAGGAGAACGGAATAATAATTTACCTTATTCTCCGTGATAAGATTAAAATGATCCCACATGGGAGAAAACTTCCTCTTCCTTGGTTGATCCATGGTATTCGATGACAAGCCAAAAACCAATGCAAAGCAAAGAACACAAATTATCTCCATCCAACAAAACGTGTCGATACATTTTCTCCCTTATAAATACAATTTGGCGCGTTCAGAACCAAATGATACAGCAACTGAATTGGTCACGTGGTTTTCCTTAAAGAGATACGTGCACCGACACGGGGCTTCGCCTTGTTTGTTCAGCACATGCACTGAGGTTTCAGTGTCATCAGACCCATCACTAGAAGAGAGATGTTGCAGAAATGTGTTATATAATCCTCCAAAGAGAGATGTGGATCAAGTTGGACACAATTTTTTCTGACTGACAAGGAGAGGGAAATGTTGCGACAGAAGTAGGCAATGCTGGTTTTAGGTGATGAGCAGTTCTGGTAAGGAGTTCCACCTAGGATTGCTTTAGTCTTTGAGCTACTCAGATGAAGAAAGCTGTGCTCTGTCCGTGTCTTACTCTCCTCAAGGTGAGTACTGTAGGAGTGGACTGTTGGAGACTAGATAGCAACTCTAAATTTTAGCGCTCTTGATACCCAGTCATGTACTGTATGTCAATCACAAGGGAGTGTCAAGAAAGTCCAGGTCAACCACCCACCACCCCAGTTATAAAAATGTATTATAGAAAAATATTACACATGTAATAATCCTTCAAAAAATGTCTTTAAGTCTCTTTTACCAGCTCCTTTAAAAAATTGTTGATGTTTTTAACCAGGTTATGTTTGTGTACCGTCAGTATTTGTCTGTTTATGTAAAACTGCTGCTTTATACTGCCTACTTGGCAACGACTCACTGAGAAAATAGACCCTAAGTCCTTTTCTTCTACTTGCAGATTGGATTCACCACAGATCCTAGGATGGCTCGTTCATCTCCATATCCAACAGATGTTGCTCGGGTGGTCAATGCACCCATCTTTCATGTCAATACAGACAACCCTGAGGCTGTAATGTATGTGTGCAACATAGCAGCGGAGTGGAGGAACACGTTCCATAAAGATGTTGTCGTAGACCTGGTAAACAAACACGTTTGACTGATGCTTGAGGCCAAACAGCGCTCGTGAGCTGAAATACCATTATTCCATTAATTGTAAGGGATAAATCTTGATTAGGACAGAAATCATTATTGTGCTTGTTCTGTGGTAAAATGTTCTACGTTGACAAAGGTTTTCAAACCACACAAAGTCCTTGTTGTTAATAGTAACTTAAGTGTGGAAAAAGGTAGAAACTGGATTAAAAAATAAAACAAATGTGCACAAAATAGCAAAATTAGCCTTCTGTTTTATTGCCCTAAGTTTGTAAAGATAACTGAAAAATGTGCTTTTAGTGATTTACCAAGATTTATAGCTCCATTAATAAATACATACTATTATGTTGTTGTTCAGCCTAATGTGATATAATGTCAACACAAGAATGTCACAACTAAACTCTGACCCCTCACTTCAGGTGTGCTACAGGCGTAACGGCCATAATGAGATGGATGAGCCAATGTTCACCCAGCCGCTGATGTACAAGCAGATCAAGAAGCAGAAGGGGGTCCTGCAGAAGTTTGCAGAGAAGCTCGTTGCTGAAGGAGTTGTTTCAACACAGTACTATGAGGTGAAGTAGCCTTTAGCTGCTGTTCACTGTCTGAAGCATGCAAGCTATAGAGAAAGATGCAGCTTAGGTTCCTTAGATGTCTGTTGTCACAAATGTGGTTTACAACAGGTAAATTGATGGGAGACTGCAAGAAGCCAAGATTCAACATGTCTGCTGACTTCCTGAGAAAGAGAACTTTACTAATTGGTTTTTCTTGTCGTGATCGGGGGCAGCACAGTGGCGCAACTGGTAGAGCTGCTGCCTCTCAGCGAGAATGTTGCCGGTTCAAATCCCGGTCCAGGGCCTTGTTCACTCCGTGCACGCGTGGGTTTCCTCCGGGTACTCCAATTTCCTCCCACAGATCAAAAACATGCATGTTAGGCTGACTGGTAACTCTAAATTGTCCTTAGGTGTGAGTGCGAGAGTGAATGGTTGTTTGTCTCGTTTGTCTCTATGTGGCCCTGTGATGGACTGGAGACCTGTCCAGGGTGTACCCCCCTCGCACAGTGATTGCTGGACATGGGCACCAGCGACCCCCGATGACCCAAAATGGAAAAAGCGGGTAAAAGATAATGGATGGATGGATGGATGGATGGATGGATGTCATGATCAGCTGGTGAAGGTAAACCCAATGGTGCAGGCAGGCAGTAGCAGACTCAGAAGATATATAAAATAAGGTATTTATTAACAAGAATTCAAAAAAGGCTGATGGTGCAGCAAGATTTACATAAATCACATGGAGTAGACGGGACATCACCAGTGGACAGCATTCAATGCCAGGACAAAGGACTAACACGGAGACACAGACTTATATACAGTGACAAACGAGACAAAACACCTGTGTGGGCACACAGCTGAAACACATCAGGGGAAATGACAAACTAGGAAACCAGGGAGTGCAGGAACAGAAGCACAACAATTCAATTCAATTTCAATTCAGTTTATTTATATAGCGCCAAATCACAACAAAGTTGTCTCAGGGCACTTTACAGGAACATTCACATACATAGAAAAGCCAATTAGTAAAGTTCTCTATCTAAGGAATCCAGCAGACAAGTTGAATCTTAGCTTCGTTGCAGTCTCCCATCCTGAGCAAGCACAGTGGCAACAGTGGAAAGAAAAAACTCCCTTTTAAAAGGAAGAAACCTCCAGCAGAACCAGGCTCAGGACAAGTGTCCATCTGCTTTGACCGGCTGGTTGAGAGGACAGGAAGGAGAGACAGACGAACATAGAATGGTAGGTCCAGGTGTATCTGAAAGACAAGAAAAAAAAAAATACATGTTAAGGATAGAAAAAATAATTACAAATACAAAACAGGTTGAGCGGCGTAAGTAAAGACAGTGGCAGAGTGAAAAAGTGTGGTCAGTTTGTCAGACAGCAGTCAAAGCCTATAGCAGCATAACTAAGGGGCAGCTCAGGAAACCCAAGCCGACCCTACCTATAGGATTTAGCAAAAAGGAAAGTCTTAAGCCTAGTTTTAAAACTGGATAATGTGTCAGCCTCACGGACAGAGATTGGAAGTTGGTTCCACAAGAGAGGAGCCTGATAACTGAAAGATCTGCCTCCCATTCTGTTTTTGTAAATTCTAGGAACCACAAGTAAACCTGCAGTCTGAGAGCGAAGTGCTCTGTTGGGAAAATATGGAACAATAAGATCTGTAATATAAGATGGAGCTAGGTTTGTTGATTAGAAGTAAGATTTTGAATTCTATTCTGGATTTGAAAGAGAGTCAATGAAGAAAAACTAAAACTGGAGAAATATGATCTCTCCTACTAACTCCAGTTAAGACTCTGGCAGCAGCATTTTGGATCAACTGAAGACATTTTAAAGTATTTGGACACCCAGATAATAAACCATTGTAATAGTCCAGTCTAGACGTGACAAATGCATGGACCAGTTTTTCTGCATCATTTTTAGATAAGATGTTTCTAATTTCAGATGGAAGCATACATACACTAGGAAAACACAAACCCTATAGAAAACAGAAACTGAAGATAAGAAGGACACAAAACATAAACACAACACAAGATGGGGCTAAACACCAGGAAACAGACCACAATCCCTACATTTCTATGTATATGAATGTTTCTGTTCAGTCCCTGAGACAACTTTTTTGTGATTTGGTGCTATGTAAATAAACTGAATTGAACTGAATTAAATTCTGCCTATTGGCACCACTATAAGCTTCTACAGGATCCTAAATTTGGGCTTTCTCAGTGAGAAGAAGTTGATTTGACGTTTTGTACTAACATAGAAAAGATTTATTGATGCTGAAATCTGCTGATCTGTGTAACTAAGTGAAGCACGAACGATTTGATTGTTCAGCTGCAATAAAAGAAATGTCTAAAACAATGTAACCACAAACTAATACACTTATTTATGTTCACATTTCATATTTACAGTATATGTCTTTTACATAAATATGTAAAGTAATCAGTTAGAATGAAAAAATACTTATTTGTTCAGTTGAAATAAATATGTACAATGTAACAGTCATGTATTCAGATGTACCTTCTTCTGTGTTCCAGGAGGAAGTAGTCAGGTATGACAAAATCTGTGAGGATGCTTATGCTCGCTCCAAAGATAAGAAGATCCTCCACATCAAGCACTGGCTAGACTCACCCTGGCCAGGTAATATAGATATGAACTGAAATAGGGATGGGCATGTACTTGCTGCCGTACACGTCGTACCGCTGTATAAGTCGCATCTATTATGTGTCACCGCTGACAACCTGAAAATGTGGGCTGTGTTGTGCCAAAAATCCATTGAATAGCGGCTGCAGGAGCGTGCACGGGAGGACTTTAACAAGAATTTAACAAGATTAACACTTAAAAACAATTATTTGTTTGCTTGAAATTATAGTAAAGGTGTGTCTCAGTCTAACTTTTCCTTAATAAATGCACTTTAATGGTCAAATCAGCTGCATTTCAAAAGCCAATTTGCGGTTGCGGGAGTGCGCAGAGTGACAACTTGCTGTGCATTTCTTCATAATTTACCAAGATAAACACCTAAAAACAATTATTTGTTTGCTCAAAATTACAGTAAAGGTGTGTCAGTTAAACTTTTCCTTAATAAATGCGCTTTAATGGTAAAATTAGCTGTATTTCTCCTGGGCGGCACGGTGAAATGAAGTTGATTTGTCGTTTGCTGCAGGAGTTCTGGAGAGAGACGAAGGTGACCTGGATGGCAAGCCAAGTGTCTCATTAATAGCCACTTTTACCTATTAATGAGACACTTGGCTTGCCATATTAGTCGAGGGCCCTCAAGCAGCTGAAAATGGTAGTGTTCAACATTTTCCATGTCAGAATGAACGAAATCGTCAGCTCTCAGCCAAAAATAGGGTTATAAATATGGGGGAAAACATAACTACTTCACTTAGCTGTAAAAGCCTCAGGCATGCTAATTTATGCAAAAAACTGACTTATGCAGCGAAAAATACAGTAGATGTAATTTTGTTTTATTCAACAGAAACCTTAATAATATTTGGAATTACAACAAATCAAAGAAGTTTTTTTTCTTTGGTCTGTGGGAAATATATCTGGTGTGAAGTAAATGCAACATTTTCTGTCTGAATATTTAGGCTTTTTCACTCTGGAGGGTCAACCTAAAACTATGAGCTGCCCTTCGACTGGCATCAGTGAAGACAAGCTCAGACACATTGGAAACATTGCAGCTTCAGTCCCGGTTGAAGATTTCACAATACATGGAGGTGCTCTCCCTCTTCTCTCTCTGGTTGTTGTAAATGTCCTCTGAATGAGCTGTTAAACCTGCCTGTTTCTGCTGCTGCCATCATCCTGCAGGCTTGAGTCGTATTCTGAAGGGGCGAGCTAACATGGCGAGCCAGCGAGTGTGTGACTGGGCTCTTGGCGAGTACATGGCCTTCGGCTCTCTGCTAAAAGAAGGAGTCCACATCCGGCTCAGTGGACAAGATGTAGAAAGGGGCACGTTCAGGTAAAAATAGGTTTTCTTTTAATAAAAAAATAGCATCATTGATGCTAAATACTTTGTTTTAGTGTGGAATGGGTGATTTTGGTCATCTTACTGTTTTACTGTTTGATTTTAGTTATATTTAACAATTAAAACCTTCATGTTGCTTGACTAGGAGGCAAAAATGTCTAAATGAACTTTAATATTAGAAAACAGAGAAATAACAGTCTTTGTTTGTCTAAAATAAAATTCTTGAAATAAAAGGGAAGTTTTTCCTTTGATATAATTTACAATTTCCTCTGACTTATTTATCATTTTGGCACACAAACAAGTTTCATACCAACAGGCTTCACGTTAAAGCAAGACACATGCAACAAAAAATTAAAACACATTCATCCATCCATCCATCCATCCATTTTCTTCCGCTTATCCGGGGTCGGGTTGTGGGGTAGCAGCTTAAGTAGGGAGGCCCAGACTTCCCTCTCCCCAGCCACTTGGGCCAGCTTCTCCGGGGAAATCCCGTGGCGTTCCCAGGCCAGCCGAGAAACATAGTCCCTCCCGCGTGTCCTGGGTCTTCCTGTGGGTCTCCTCCCGGTGGGAGGAGAGCCCAGACACCCTGCGGAGAAAACTCATTTCGGCCGCTTGTATCCGAGATCTCGTTCTTTCGGTCACAACCCAAAGCTCATGACCATAGATGAGGGGAGGAACGTAAATCGATCGATAAATTGAGAGCTTTGCCTTTTGACTCAGCACTCTCTTCACCATGACAGACCAGTACAGCGCCCGCTTCACTGCAGACGCTGCACCTATCCGCCTATCGATCTCACGCTCCATTTTTCTTTCATTCGTGAACAAGACCCCAAGATACTTGAACTCCTCCACTTGAGGCAGGACCTCCTCCCTGACACGGAGAGGGCACTCTACCCTTTTCTGGCTCAAGACCATGGCCTTGGATATGGAGGAACTGGTCTTTATCCCGGCTGTGTCGCACTCGGCTGCGAACCGCTCCAACGAAAACTGTAGATCACGAACTGATGAAGCCAATAGGACCACATCATCTGCAAAAAGCAGAGAAGCAATCCTAAGGCCACCAAAACAGATCCCCTCAACACCTTGGCTATGCCTAGAAATTCTGTCCATAAAAATTATGAACAGAATCGATGACAAAGGGCAACTTTGGCTGAGTCCAACTCTCACCGGGAACAAGCCTGACTTACTGCCGGCAATGCGGACCAGGCTCTGACACAGGTCATACAGGGACCTAACAGCCCGTATCAAAGGGCCTGGTACCCCATACTCCCGGAGTACCCTCCAAAGGGTTCCCCAAGGGACGCGGTCAAACACCTTCTCCAAGTCCACAAAGCACATGTAGACCGGTTGGGCAAACTCCCACGCACCCTCCAGGACCCTGCTGAGGGTGTAGAGCTGGTCCAGTGTTCCAAGGCCAGGACGAAAACCACACTGCTCCTCCTGTATCCGAGGTTCGACTATCCAGCGGACCCTCCTCTCCAGAGCCCCCGAATAGACCTTACCAGGGAGGTTTAAGAGCGTGATCCCCCTGTAGTTGGAACACAATCTATGGTCCCCCTTTTTGAATAGGGGGACCACCACCCCAGTCTGCCAATCCAGGGGAACTTCCCCCAATGTCCACGCAATATTACAGAGTCGCGTAAGCCAACATAACCCCACAACATCCACTAGAGCCTTAAGGAACTCCAGGCAAATCTCATCTACCCCTGGGGCCCTGCCACCGAGGAGCTTTTTAATTACCTCGGTGACCTCAGCACCAGAGATTGGAGGGCCCGACCCAGAGTCCCCAGGCTCCGCTTCCTCAGTGGAAGATGTGCCAGTAGGAATGAGGAGGTCTTCAAAGTATTTCGCCCACCGACTCATGACATCCCAAGTTGAGGTCAGCAGCACACCACCCCCACTATAAACAGTGTTGGTGGTGTTCCGCTTTCCCCGCAAGATGCCAGATGGTGGACCAGAATCGCCTCGAAGCCATGTGGAAGTTATTCTCCATGGCCTCTTCGAACTCCTCCCATGCCCGAGTTTTTGCCTCAGCGACCACTCGAGTCACATGTCGCTTGGACTGCCGGTACCCATCAGCTGCTTCCGGGGTCCCACAGGCCAAAAAGGCCTGATAGGACTCCTTCTTCAGCCTGACAGCATCCCTCACCACCGGTGTCCACCACCGGGTTCGAGGGTTGCCACTACGACAGGCACCGACAACCTTGTGGCCGCAGCTCTGGTAAGCTGCCTCGACAATAGAGACACGGAGCATGGCCCACTTGGACTCAATGTCCCCAACTTCCCCTGGAACATGTTCGAAGTTCTCCCAGAGGTGGGAGTTAAAACTCCGTCTCACAGGAGACTCTGCCAGATGTTCCCAGCAGACCCTCACAATACGTTTGGGCCTGCCAGTTCTGACCGGCATCCTCCCCCACCATCAAAGCCAACTCACCACCAGGTAGTGATCAGTGGGCAGCTCCGCCCCTCTCTTCACCTGAGTGTCCAAGACATGTGGCCACAGATCAGATGAGACGATGACAAAGTCGATCATCGAACTGCGGCCTAGGGTGTCCTGGTGCCAAGAGCACATATGGACACCCTTATGCTTGAACATGGTGTTTGTTATGGACAATCTATGATGAGCACAGAGTCCAACAACAGAACACCACTCGGGTTCGGATCAGATCAGTTCCTCCCAACCACACCCCTCCAGGTCTCACTATCATTGCCCACGTGAGCATTGAAGTCCCCCAACAGAACAAGGGAGTCTCCAGGAGGTGCACTTTCCAGTACCCCGTCCAAGGACTCCAAAAAGAGTGGATAATCTGAACTGCCGTTTGGTGCATAAGCACAAATGACAGTCAGAACCCGTCCCCCCACACGTAGGCGGAGGGAGGCCACCCTCATTTACCGGGGTGAACCCAAAACACAGGCATCGAGATGGGGGGCAATAAGTATGCCCACTCCTGCTCGGCGCCTCTCACCAGGGACAACTCCAGAATGGAAGAGTGTCCAACCCCTCTCAAGGAAACTGGTTCCAGAGCCAGAGCCATGCGTAAAGGTGAGTCTGACTATTTCTAGCCGGAACTTCTCAACCTCACCCACCAGCTCAGGCTCCTTCCCCACCAGTGAGGTGACATTCCACGTCCCAATAGCCAGCTTCTGTAGCCGAGGATCAGACCGCCAGGGTCCACGCCCTCGGCCACCACCCATCCCACATTGCACCCGACCTCTTTGGCCCCTCCCACAATACAATCGGTTTTACCGTTTTGCTTTATCTTGATTTTGTCACCAATAAACTGATTTTGTGCTGAAATGATTAACAAGTGGGAAAACATTTTAAATTGCCTGAATGTGCTGTTGGTTCTATTTCCATATACAACCCTTTGAAAATAATAAAAACAAATGTTTTGTTTGTTTGCTTCACAGCCATCGACACCATGTTCTTCACGACCAGAACGTTGACAAAAGAACCTGCATCCCAATGAACCACATCTCTCCTGACCAGGCTCCATACACTGTCTGCAACAGCTCTTTGTCGGAGTACGGAGTTCTGGGTGAGTCCTTTAAAGACTAGAAACTCTCCTTCGATACTAAATTTGAACACAAGAAACTGTCCCAAAGACAGTAACAAAGAGTTTACTATACTCTATCGCTTCATCTTATTTGATTTTTTTTGCATTCTTTCTTTTGCTCTCAACGAATACGGTTGCTTTCACCCTCTCTCCCTCCCTCCAGCTTTTTTGCTCTCTTGACCTATCAACCTCCTCAGAGCCTCTCTTTACACATCTTTTGAATTGAAAATTATTATGGATCTGGTCAGCTGGTCCCTCAACACAATTGAGAACATTGTTTCTATCAGAAGACAGGGTGCAGGAGAGCCCTCGTGCCCTGAAGGGACCCACGAAACTGGATATGTCATTGATTCCTGGGGTGTGTGGAAGATGATGTGCCTATCTGTGCTGTCTGTTGAGGACATAAAAGACGCATACATAATTGGATTTATGATAACAGGATTTCTGTTTTTTGAATTGGCTGATACCTGGGCTTTTGGCCAATAAGGAAGACGTCGGCAACAGTTCTGGCAATAGTAAAGCTGCCTACCTTACTCTGTGCTTTGAACTCTCAGAATATGCTTAGTAAGTTGAACGTGATTTCTGAGAATCATAGGCCACTTGCAGCTTGCAGACATGAAGAATTCTACCTTGGAGAAGGTTAACAAGCACGGACCGGTGGAATGTCCACAAATTTGGATGTTTGGATTTGCCAATGAGTGTACCAGCAGAACTTGAATGCAGACATGTCAGTAGAGTCGGCCTGCCCATAACAATTGTTTATCTGAGTTTGGCCTCCCCGCTGACCTTGGACAGGCCAACTTATCATTGCTCCCGGGGGACACGTAAACTAAGACACTCTGCCTGCCTGCCCCCCCCCCCCCAGGACATCTGTGGCCTTATCAGAATTGTGCTGCTGACAGACACTGTACCATCTTATAAGAACTTTGGAACTTTCTGGTGTGTCTATGAACAACTCACCGCCTTTGTTGACCTCTATGCATAAATGTATTATGATGTAATTGTATAATTATGATGTCATTGTATGTTGCTGTTTATGTTGTAAGATCTTTTTTTGCATCTTTACACTGTTTCCTGGCCAGGACATGGTGTGAGACATGATTTTTTTTTTACTTTCTCCACCCTCGTGTTTTCTTTTCCTCATCTACTCTGTATGTTGTATGTAACAGGTCTCTCTTGTAAATGAGTCCTCGAGGCTCAATGGGAACTAACCTGTATAAATAAAGGTTGAATGAATGAATTTTCTTCTGTGCAGGTTTTGAGTTAGGCTTTGCCATGGCCAGTCCCAACGCTCTGGTTCTGTGGGAGGCCCAGTTTGGAGACTTTCACAACACAGCTCAATGCATCCTTGACCAGTTTGTCAGCTCGGGTCAGGCAAAATGGGTCAGACAGAATGGCATTGTACTGCTGCTCCCTCACGGCATGGAGGGAATGGTAGGAAGAGAAAAAGTTGTTTGCCACCTTGTTAAAACATCAGTTATTAAATGAATACATCTATATTTTTCTCTTTCTCTTAGGGTCCAGAACATTCATCTGCTCGTCCTGAAAGGTTTCTACAGATGTGCAATGATGACCCAGATGTTTTTCCTGTGAGTTTGTTCCAAAATCTTTTTACTTCTGACCTCATCACCCATAAAAAATCATGGGAGATGTTGATTTGAGCTGCTACTACTGCACCTAAAGTTTGGAAAAAAGAAAACCTGCACCTGAATTTTATTTCTCTAAAGCCACAGTTTTAGGTAGTGAGAGATTATTTGATCGTTTTAGATCATCAGCATGAGGTTTACATTATCATCTGTTCATGAATGAAAATCAAAACCATGTGCAGCAGATTTGTTAGTATTATATATGAGAAACAATGGTTGTAACAACTTCTGGACATCTATTTGATTCATATCAAATTGCATTTTAAGAATGCTAAGTAGGGATAGCTTTAAAGCTACACAGGCTACATTCATGCTGTGAAAAAATGGTTTTACTTACAAAGAAAAAACAAACCTATAAATGGAAAAGTAGGTTGTATTAGAGGCTAGTACAGAAACAGATTCCAGCCGCAGCAGCATTGTAGTGGCATGAGATGTATTCTCTTTTTTCTGAGTGATCAAGATCTGACTGCTGGTTTCAGCCAAAGCATAACTTGTCTTACATGTGGAGATTAGTGAGTGAAGGGTCTTTAACTTGTCAGGAACCTAAAAGACATGTCTGGTTTTAGCAACATTTCAGTATGACATGCATTGAGAATGAACTTTGTTGTTAGTATGACATACAGTTTTAACACAGTGACTGTTTGGTTCAGGCTTGTTTTCTGTAGTGTTTTTCTGCCCTTTTTTGTTGTTGTTAAGCTTTATATCAAGGAGTGAGAGTTGTGTTGTGGTTACCATGGGGACCCTAATCAGCCACTGGCAACAGCTTTAACATATCTTTTGATCTTGCTTCTCTTTACACAGTTATACATCAAAATGTAATATATTAATAAAACAAGGTTGAACAACATGTTTGACTTGAGCATCCAAACTGAAACTGGAATCAAATATGACTCCTGGATTCCTAATAGCATTGGTTACATCACTTAATAAACGTGTAAGCCTTGAACCAATGAGGTTGTAATGTTTCCCTTCCAACTGTTTAAACATTTTCTTACACAGTTTACTTCTAACTTATTTTAAAATTATTCAATTTATAGTCACAAAGACAAGCTGTAAGATTAGCAAGGCTGGGATTTTTAGGTTTTAGAGTCACGGACACAGAAATCTCTCTATAGAGCTGGCCAAGAAGAGGCAAGTAAATGGAGAATAGAAGGGAGACGAGAATTCATCCCTGAGGTACAACTCAACCTAACAGAGTTAATGAGGATGTACAATTTAAAATCAGAGAGCAAAGATTCTGTATGTTTAGGCGTATGAACATAACGTGAGGTGAAGTTATCTGACCCATCTACATGATGCTGTGATTAACTTCTGTAAAACAATGAACACTGAGCTGGCTCTTCTGTTAATAATTGTACTGTTCTACTTTAAATATTTTGTATCTTTTTTAAATTACTATTCAACTTTTGTTTTATTGCTTTAGAAACTTCCAGGGGACTTTGCAACACATCAGCTTTATGACTGTAACTGGATTGTGGTTAATTGCTCGACTCCTGCAAACTACTTCCACGTTCTCCGCAGACAGATCCTGCTGCCGTTCAGAAAGCCTGTAAGTGAGGCTCATAGTGAAGTCAGCATAAAATATGATGCTGTTCAAATAGTTCAACGGATTCTTTTTATTATTTCTGGAATGGCAGCTCATTGTATTTACTCCGAAGTCACTGTTGCGCCACCCTGAGGCCAAGTCAAGCTTTGATGACATGTTGCCAGGTGAGCACTGCCAGTTAGAATAAAAGCAGGAAACAAAGTGTAGTAAATGGAGAAGGTACCATTACAGTGTGCTGTTTGTTGTTCCTGTTTCCCTGCTTGAAGGTACCCACTTCATGCGTCTCATTTCGGATGCCGGGCCTGCAGCCGTCAGCTCAGAGAAAGTGAAAAGAGTCATTTTCTGCACTGGCAAGATTTACTACGAAGTGATCAGGGAACGTGAGAACAGAGGCCTGGATGATGTTGTTGCTGTTGTTCGTATTGAGCAGGTGATTGATGCCATCTCTTCTTTAAAAAACTGCACTGATTACATCCAGAGACTCAGACTGAACTTACAGAACTGAAATAAATTGATACATAATAAAAATAAATAAATTGTACTGTTAAATAAGCTAGAATTAAATGTTGTATTTTTTACTCGTTGCAGCTTTCACCGTTCCCTTTCGACCTGGTGAAAGCAGAGGTGGATCGCTACCTGAATGCTGATCTGGTCTGGTGTCAGGAAGAGCACAAGAATCAGGGTTACTATGACTACGTCAAGCCCCGCCTCCGTACTATAGTTGGCCAAACACGCCCCATCTGGTAAGTTTGACTTTTGAGTTGTTGCGCTTGATGTTGCGAAAATGTCGTTTTTTTTGTAGCTTTGCAAAACCATGGAGCTGAAACTTCACCCATTTTGTTCAACATCAGGTCAGCTGCATGAAGACAGTAATCCTGTGACTTTAACAGCTTCTTAATATGGTTAACTACTGAAGAAGCCATCACAAGAAAAACAGCTCCTTTTATAAAACAAGAATATTAACACAATAACAATTTCCCTTATTAGTTAAATTTTTTTCTGTTTGAATCCAACATATTCGCCCACTGCCTCTAACGACAGGTGTGTCTGTGTTTGTCTGTTAGTTTTCTAAATTTTTCTCCACTGATAGGATTGTAACTCTCAAAAAGAAAACCATTAAATGTAAATCTACAACTTTTTGAGTCAGCTTGATGCAAGATGCCTGTCACAGCAAATCAGATCTAGCAAACACAAAAATTGCTACCAGTCTGACAGATATTGGACTCAAATTGTGTGTGTTAGTAGCTGAGGGCCATGCCCTCCACATAATCCAAATACTAACAGACCTTTGTTTAAAACTTTGGCAAGCAAGAAATATGCAATGGATCAAGGAATGCTACTTTATTTTAAAAGCTGGCGCCAACATGGTGGATAACCTTTTCAACAAAACTATTAACATATTTATACCAAAAGTCACATTTGTTCCCTTTCTACAAAGCTCACTCCAGGTCTACCTGGAAAAAAGCGATGTTAATCTCAAGGGACTTCCTGGTAAAAGTAAAAATAAACTGCCACGTTCTGTTTCATGCAGTTCGCCGTCTACAGTGTCAGTACTGGATGAGATCCTACTCTGCTGCCACAGCTACAGCAGTAACAAACACAAAAAAGCTTAAGCTCAGGCATTTTTATAGATATTAAACTAAAATCTGTAGTAGCTGAAAGGTATGTCTAAGCTTATTCCATGTGCTAACATTTGCACTAACAGGCCTTGCATAGATTGTCTTTAATGGGGAGAATAAGAGTCAATTCCTTCTGTAAAACGAGAACACATAAACAAGTCTGTCAGGTTGTTGAAACGTTTCGTCTTTTGGATAAAAGACCAAACGTTTCATCAAAGAAGAATCCGTCCAGAGGACCTGACTCGACCTTGTTAGACCTGGATGAGCTGCTTCAGGACACTTTATAATCAAGGTTTGACTGACAGACTATGCTCTTTATTCTCCTTCCGAAGGTACTAAAATAAGGAACTTGTTTTTTGATGCTTACCTGTGTGTGTTTGCAGGTATGCTGGCCGTGGCCCTGCAGCAGCTCCAGCTACTGGAAACAAGCACACACACCTCATGGAGTTGCAGCGATTACTGGACACAGCACTGAGCCTGGATGCTTTCTCAGGGAAACTTTAAAACTGTGGAAAATGACCTGCATGATGGGTCCAGAAGTGGCTTCTCTATTTGCCAATGTGTTGCACTAATGTTCAGGCAAAATGCACAAAGAACCAACTGACCTTTGAACACTGTTACCATGCAAGTTCACAGGGAAGGACACAATGAAGGAAATAAATTATAAACTTGCACTGAATGTATAATTTTATACAAAATGAATGTTTAAGACCAGGTTTAATCAGAATAATTTCAGCATATTCTGCAAAGCAATGCTTTGTTCATCCATTATTTTATTCATTCATTTAAAGAGGGTCTTTTAAAACTGGATATTACACAAGACAAGAAGTAGTCAATAAAATGACATTAAGTTATTTGGGAAACACTCTGAGGAAATAAATTTAGACTGTATCAACTTAAGCTAAGATAGAAAGCTTGATTAGCACATGACTAATAGGAACATCTAGACGTACAGAGGGTTGCAAAATATGTCACTCCCATTGACAATCTTTCTTTTGAGTTGCTTTATATTCTTGAAATTCATTAATTTTGTCATCCATCCATCCATCCATCCATTATCTTTACCTGCTTCTTCCTTTTCAGGTCGTGGAGGTCACTGGTGCCCATATCCAGCAGACACTGGATATGGATCATCCCCACCCCATGTCAGTACTTTGTAAAGCCAATTTTTGCAGCAAATATCCATCAGTATATATTTTTTCCATTCTTCATGACTAAACTGATCCAGTTCCTTCGAGCTGGGTGGTGCTTGTGTACAACAATCTTTAAATCAAACCAGAGATTCTCATTTGGATTGAGGGCTAGTCTTTGACAGGATCAATGCAGGACCTTTAACCATTTTTCGTTAAACCAGTAGCTTTACTTCTGCAGTGTGCTTAAGGTCATTGACCTGTAATTTGCTTTATCTATTTTTCCCATAAATCTGACTGGTTTTCCAGTCCCTGACTATATAAACCATTTCCACAGCATGATTCTGCCACCGCCATGCTTCATTCTAGGAACAGTGTTCCCGGGACAATGAGATTTACACCAGATAGTGTTATTATTGATGGCAAAATGTCGTGTTTGTGTCTTATTTGACCACAGCATCTTTATCAGCAAGTTTGGGGAGGAAATTTCTATGTGCCTTTTTCTTTTTTATTTTTTTAAGCCATGTTTTTTTTTACCGTAATTCTCTCCATAGACCAGTTTTATGCAGGTTATGTGATGCTATGGATAAATACTTCAATTTCTTCAGAAAAAACATTTTCCATCATTGATGTCATTGGCCTCCTGGTTGCTTCTAAGTAAGGAGCGTCCAACTCAGTTTCAAAAGGGGGCAAAATTCAAATCTTGGTCCAATCCACAGGCTGATTTCAGTTGATGCTGAGCATCTTTTCTTGGTTGCAGGTTCATCAACAAGCATTTCATCTGTCTCAACTGACGTTCTCTTGTGACCTTTCCAAATCAAAATCAAAGACGTCTGAAAAATCCAACCATTTTTCAGGCTTCAAAGTTTGCCAGCTCTCCTGAGAAGTCTGCACTTAACGTAAACAGTGTAAATTAAGTTTGACATGTTTTACATATATGTTTTCCTTCCCACCAACAGTGACATTTGGGGAACAATCCTCTTTTAGCAAGTTTATTATAGTTGCGTCGTCTTTCCATTTTCTCGCAATTGGTAAGATACAGGTAAAGATAATGGATGGATTCACTGTGAGATGTTTAGTGTTTGTGACAGTTTTAGAGTTCAACCAATTGACTATATAATACTAGACGTCGCGCTTCTTCAGATCTGAAACCATGAAATCCCACTTTACAGGAGCTGCCAGGTTGTATTTTTGGAACCAGAGTCTGCTCACTGGAGATGTGGGACTTTAAATCCTACACTCCCCACACACAGTAATGGTGATATAATATTCAAATGTACAAAACAAGAACTGTGTGATTCAATAAGAGTCAGCACCTGAGAGAAATTATAGAAGTGTATGTTTTTATTTTAATAAGAGCAATGTCTAAAACTTGTATCAAATATGGACGATAGAAAGTTGATCACATTCCAGCTTCAACATCCAGGTTCCCATTGGATGTTTACAGCAGCTGCTCCAGTCCAGATTTGTATTACTCAACTTTATCTTTAACCTGTATGGAGTTCCTTGGTCTTCTTGCTGTCTCTTGCTTGGTGGTACTTAGAGATGTTACATTTGGTGTTAAGTCTAAGGCCAGAATAGGTGTATGCATATATATATATATATAAGGCCCAGCAGAGA